TTATTTAAAATTAAAAATATTTTCCTCTGGTTGCAATGTAAGCCAGTTCCTCTTTGTGCTATAGTGAATCAAATCAGAAAAGCTGCTAACTTTCACAGATTCACATGCTATACTTTAAAACCGTGAATGTTCAGGTCATCCTGTTCTCTCTGTTTCATAGGTTGGAGAAAAAACAGCCATTTATCAAAGGTATGAAGCTCAAACTATATTGTTAGGGAGAATTTCCAAAGAAGGTTTATATATCTTCAATACATAAAATAGTGTCCTGAAGCCAGAATTCTTCCATTAAAAAAATTCTCTCTGCTCCTTCCCCTTTGATTGTATTGTTCTTTAGTGGAACTTGCCCAAAAAAAGGCCTGAAGAGTAAACACATGGCAAGCAATTGTGATCACTCTTCCCTTGCCCTGGCCAAAAGCTTATTAGATTATATTGATTTACCAGCTCTTTCCTTGCAGAAATAGCCTAATTAAATGCTTAATACTGCCTCTGAAGATGAGTTCAGCTCAATAGTTATTTTGGGTTCTAATTTTAGAAGCTGTGCCTCCTATGATTATAATTTTGGTAATGAGAATTAAATGTTGATGTCTCAAATTGGCATTCTCTCCATTCTTTAACGTATTATTTCCTGGAGCCAAAATGTTGTTGGAAGTCCAAGTTTAAATTGGACCCAATCACAGAGTATTTTTACCTTCAGCAGAAAGATTATTCTCTTGTTTACTGGGGAGTATATATGTAATTCTAGCTTTTCTTCTTTCTTTGAAAAGTTATTTGGGGAAAATTTCAAAATTATTCTGGTTTAAGCTTCAGAGTGGATATATTCTGCATTCAGGATACTATCTCCTTTTTTATGGGAATGGAGCCATAGGATTCTTTTTTCAATGGGCATTTTGCCTTTATAAGAGAAAGATAATTTTAAAGACTTTTTTAAAATTATTTTTTGTAAAGCCACATGATCTAACTTTTGCGACTAACTTCAGCAGTTTAAAAGGCAGGCTCCTTGGCCGGGCGCGGTGGCTCAAGCCTGTAATCCCAGCACTTTGGGAGGCTGAGATGGGCGGATCACGAGGTCAGGAGATCGAGACCATCCTGGCTAACACGGTGAAACCCCGTGTCTACTAAGAAATACAAAAAATAGCCGGGCGAGGTGGCAGCGCCTGTAGTCCCAGCTACTCGGGAGGCTGAGGCCGGAGAATGGCGTGAACCCGGGAGGCGGAGCTTGCAGTGAGCTGAGATCCAGCCACTGCACTCCAGCCTGGGCGACAGCGCGAGACTCCGTCTCAAAAAAAAAAAAAAAAAGGCAGGCTCTTATAAGGGCTATAGGAAGAAGTAGGATATATGGATTTGGAGTAGCTGTGACTTTTTCTCTTCTTTTCCTTCCTTTTCAAGAATAACTAGACTTATTCTTATGATAGTAAAGGGTTGGCAAATCTAAATGACACAATCCACCTTTAATCTAAGATAGTCTATTTTTTTTTCACTTTTTTTTTTTTTTTTTTTTTGAGGCGGAGTCTCCCTCTGTCGCCCAGGCTGGAGTGCAGTGGCCGGATCTCAGCTCACTGCAAGCTCCGCCTCCCAGGTTGACGCCATTCTCCTGCCTCAGCCTCCCGAGTAGCTGGGACTACAGGTGCCCGCCACCTCGCCCGGCTAGATTTTTGTATTTTTTAGTAGAGACGGGGTTTCACCGTGTTAGCCAGGATGGTCTTGATCTCCTGACCTTGTGATCCGCCCATCTCGGCCTCCCAAAGTGCTGGGATTACAGGCTTGAGCCACCGCGCCCGGCCCAGATAGTCTAAACCTTCATTTTCCAGCAATAGGTGACCCCAGAGTGACTATGTGAAAATTATTTTAAAAGTAGACCACGCATCTCAAATACTACCTTCTCTGGCTAAAAAAATGTATTTATGAGCCTTTTGTGTTTATGAGTCTTTGTGATTGCTCTTTGCTTTAAATTGTCCATCTAAGAGGTCTTTGATGGTAATATTCGTTAAATACCTGCTTCCTTTCCCAAAGACGAGTTGATTATTATTATTTGCAATCTACTAGGAAATAATTTTGAGCAATGTAACTGAACTTGTACAACTGACAACCAACAAAAAAGTTTTGTTTCATCGCTTTTTTTTTGGTTTGTTTGTTTCTGTGAAATTAAGGGCATCACTGACACCCTGGAGCATCTGAAAACAAATTTCCTTTTTTGAGGCTTTGGTGGTTATCAAATAGGGTGTGAATTTACCATGCTCCATTGCGCTGAAGGAGACCCGTGTTTGATGGTCTTGCCAGGCATTTACACATTGTATAATGCTGCCTCCACTTTCAGTTCAAAGCAAGCATTGTCTCCTGGGTTTTCACTTAGCTTATATTGCTGCTTCTCATTTATTTTGACATAACAGTTCACTTCAAACTAGATAATCTTCTGATCAGGAAAAAGAGAAGCTAGCTCCTTTCCTTCATAAAACAACCTTTTCTTTGAAGACACAGTTCAGTAAATCCAATAAATTTTGAGACAGCATTACTTTTCATTGGTTGGGTACTATGATAAAAAATGAAAACAAGTCCTTTAAAGATGCTTTTGATACAAGACTTCTTTCTTTTTTGCTAAGTTTAGAAAAGCCATTCTATATGTATAATAATTTGATAATATTAGCCCACATAAATTTTAGTTGTATTGGTGGAATTTCGGCTTTTGAACTGTGTACGTGAAACAGAAGAAGAGAAAGCAAAACAAACAACCAACTAATGTAGTTGGTTTTTTGTTGAAATTCTAAAGGGAATTTGAACATGAATTCAAAATGCTGTTTATTAAACAGCAAACACAGAGAAATTCATTGTAGAAGTTTAAAACATAGCAAGATTTATTTTAAAAGTGCAACTCAAAGCCATGTTTTAGAAAACGTTTCAGCTAATGGTGGCTAGCAAAAGATCTCTGCTGGCAGTGGTTTTGGAATCTCAGAGGGTTACTTTCTGTGAAACAATGATTTCTTTTTTCTAAGGTTAGTAAGTAAAGTCAATTAAAAGCAATTTCAGGTATGATTGGGAAAACAGAAACAAAACCAGAAACAGTTGTTTGCTTTCAGTGTTGAAGCCCTGAAAAGGAGGTCATTACAAAAATTGTTTTGAAATTTACAACTTTTGGATTGTTCCTGAAGTTTCCTGAAAATATAAATGTCCTAGTAAGTATTTACAATACACATGTAAAATTTTTATCAAATCACTTCGGAATTCGTTGCAAGTGCCCAAACATGCCTGGTAAATGAGCTAACTACACAAACTAGAAATATTAATTTCTAAGTGTAAGTTTATACAAAAGCTTCGTGAATTTTTGCCTCATACAAATACTAGCTAATATTAAGTTGGAGTTTCAGTTTGGAAAATAATTCTTCATTCACCACATGATATGATTCTTCTAAGAGTCCTGTAAAATAGATAGGGCAGGTTATATAATCTCCATTGGGAAGAGACAGTAAATAATAGCTATGATTTGTTGAAGGTTAACTGTAAGCCATACATCGTTTAAATATTTTGCATATATTAGCTCATTTATTCCTCTCAACAGCCTTATGAAGTAGATACTATTGTTGTGCTATTTTGGAGACGAAGAAATTACGACACAGAGAGGCTAAGCATCTACCTAAGGCTGTACAGCTAGAAGTGATGAAGGTGAGATTCAAGTTGAGAAACGATTACTGTCCCATTTTGCAGATGAGAAACCTGAGGTTTAGAGAAGCTGAGGTCACTGAGCTCACTAAGCTTACCAAGGTCAAAATCCTTGAAAGGGGCTGGGCGCAGTGGCTCATACTTGTAATCCTAGTGTGCAGATCACTTGAGCCCAGGAGTTTGAGACTAACCTGGTCTCAGGATGGCAAAACCTTGTCTCTGCTAAAAATACAAAAATTAGTTGGGCATGGTGTTGTGCATCTGAAGTCCCAGCTACTTGGGAGGCTGAGGTAGGAGGATTGCTTAAGCTCAGGAGGTTGAGGCTGCAATAAGCCATGATTGTGCCACTGCACTCCAGCCTGGGCAACAGAGCGAGCCCTTGTCTCAAACAAACAAACAAAAACAAAAACAAAAAAACAAAACAAAAAACTGACAAAGAACAATACCGAAATTTAGAGAAAAAAAAATCTCTCAATCTGTCCGGCTGTAAAAATCTTAGCTTTTAAGCTTTTAAACATTTTATTACAATGTTTAAACCCTGGTTTCTCCATTTTTGATTTTATGCCAAGATATTTAAGCTAATATGTTGCTCAATTGTGGTCACTGTATACAAAAGCTAAATTGACATTTTTCTCCCACTGTGTAAGTTTTAGTATCTGTTTCTGCTTTGTAGCTTTGGTAGATTTTACTTGGGATACTGGGAAACTTTTGGGGGAGTATAAGATGCAAAGTATACAGTAATGTGCTAGAATCACTGGGGAAGCATTTTAAAAATACATCAGCTGATGCCTCTGAACAGATCTATCATATCAGATAGGTATGGCACTACCCAGGGTGGGCGGGGGCTATCAGAAGGAGGCTGCCCTAGCCTGGGTACTTTCAGAAAAGTTCTCCAGCTAAACCTGCTATGTTCTAACCCAGATGAAAACTGCAAGAGGCCCCTCTCCACACCCTCACAAGCTGTCTCACGCTCTGGAGACTTTTCAAGTTGTAGATATTCCCTGACAGTTACAATGAGAGAACTGTTTTCCTCCATCTGGGTAATAAGACCCCTGATCATTAATTTGGGGGCAGAATTATTGTGCGGTCTGTGGTCAACTAAAATCTATAAATTTTTTTTTCTTACTGAAACCAAGATTAAAATAAGTCATCCCCTTTACGCTGTCTATATTAAATGTACCTAATTTGGGTTCATTATTCTTGTGTGTTGAGCTCTTTGTCAAAATGGATTTGGTAATCTAATATATTAGTGAACTATTTTCAGGTTTGTGTCATATAAAAATTTGAAAAGTAGAATCATCCTGAAGCAGCAGCCAGCGAAGAGACAAGGGCACGAGCATCAGAATGCCATGCCTTTCTTGGACGTGCAGAAACGGTTTGGCGTTAACATAGGTCGATGGTTGACAATCCAAAGTGCTGAACAGTCCTACAAGATTCCTGCTCGATGTCATCCTTTTGAAAAAGAATGGATAGAATGTGCACACGGAATTCGTGGTATCTGGGCAGAGAAAGAGTACAAAATAGAAAATGATTATTTCATAGAGTATACTTTGGCAGAAAAGGATGAGACGTTTTACTACCATCAGGAAGCAGTGGGAGAAGCTGGTAAAGGAAGGGAAGTACACCCGTCCACCTCACCATGTGGGCAAGGGGGAGCCTCGGCCCCTAAGCAGACTCCCAAAGTGCTGGGACTACAGGTGTGAGCCACTGCACCCAGCTGTTATAAAGTAGTTTTCAGCTTTATTTCCTTCACTAAAAAATTGGGATAGTAATACCAATCTCAAAGGATTGTTGAACATACTGAGATTTTATATGCATATAAGCACAAACACGTACATATAAAACATATATATATAATTTCCTCTAGAATAGTACCTGACATGGTAAATATTCAATGAATAGTGTCTATTATTAATAACTAATAATTATTAGTTAATAATTATTAATGACTAATAATTATTTAATACATTATTATCTTTGAGGATATTGTGAGAGAATTTGATCAATATATGTCTTTCTATGCCAGAATATTTTCTCATAAAAAAAGAGGTGTATTAGTCTTAGCTTACCTCGTAGACCATTTATGATGGATCACTATTAGTCTCTTGTTCTGTTTTCTTTTTCTTTTCTTTTTTTTTTTTTTTTTTGAGATGGAGTCTCACTCTGTCATCCGGGCTGGAGTACAGTGACGTGATCTGGGCTCACTGCAACCTCCGCCTCCAGGGTTCAAGCGATTCTCCTACCTCAGCCTCCTGAGTAGCTGGGATTACAGGCGAGCATCACCACACCTGGCTAATTTTTGTATTTTTAGTAGAGACGGGGTTTCACCATGTTGGTCAGGCTGGTCTCGAACTCCTGACCTCATGATCTGCCTGCCTTGGCCTCCCAAAGTACTGGGATTACAGGCATGAGCCACCACACCTGGTTAGTCTCTTATTCTTGAGTTAATATAATATAGTGTTAATCTATTCATATTTCTCAGTTTGTAAAATCTTTGGCTGAGTTTTTTATATTTCTTTCTTTCTTTTTGGAGACAGAGTCTCACTATGTCGCCCAGGCTGGAGCCCAGTGGCTGTTCACAGGCCTGATCCCATTACTAATGAGCATGGGAGTTTTGACCTGCTGAGTTTCTGACTTAGGCCTGTTCACCTCTCCTTAGGCAAACTGTGGTCCCCTGCTCCTAGGAGGTCACCGTATTGATGCCGAACTTAGTGTGAACACCCAATCGGCTTAGTGCACTAGAGTCCGGGTGCACTAGAGTCTTAGTGTGCTAAACTCCTGGACTCAAGCAATCCTTCTGGTTCAGCCTCTTCAGTAGCTGGAATTACAGGCTCACACCACTGCACTCTACAGTTTTTTGTTTCTATGCAGGATGAAATAGAATAAAGCCTTGCTTTTCTTAAACCTAGTATTAGCTATATCCCAAGTATCATCTGCCATTGCTGAGAACCCATAACTAAATAAACAGTTGAGGAGATGAGCTTTCATTTATAGCTTTACTTGTGAAAGGTTGATCTGGCTTTAGTTTTCTTTGGCCATCAGTTTCTAAAAGTTCTTAAAAGTTTGTTTCCCAATCGAGTTAAATGAAATTAGCTAGACAGTTTTGACTATTGCTAAAAAGTCAAAAAGAAAAAACTGTAAGAGATTTTGTTGAGGGCAAGAAAGCAAATTATAAGAATATGATTGGTGTTTTTAATTCTATAACTAATTTTGCACAATGCTATGTTTTGTTGTGGATGAGAGGTGAAAGTGACATTAGAGATTTATCTCAGGTTAAATAAGATTTCATTGCTTTTGGGTAGTGAGCAGACATACAGAAGGATGTTCATTTAATCTCCAGAGAAAGTTTAAATGGGTTTCTGAGTGTGCCAAGAGATAACTGTTCAGGTTTAGTTTATAAGCAGGATTCCTTAGCCAACATTTTTATTTCCCTTTTTATAGTTTCTAAAATAACATTAGCTCTAACATGCCTAACAATCTCAAGAAAATATATCCTAGTTTGTGATATGCACTCTCTGTAATGGTTTACCATCACTTTAGACTTCAGGAATAAGGTTCAGTAATTTTAAAACTCAATGCCTTGACATAGAAAACTACTGGCATTATTAACTTTCAAATCAATGAGGAGAGCAGAAGAATGTCTTAACAAAAGAGCTAATGGCTGTTTTCTTTAACCTATGGTTGGAATAATTAAATAGCATGGACTTTTCATCCAACGCTAAAAGTAAAATGGAGAGTCTGATGTTTAATATCTGAATCCTGTAGAGGATATCGCTGGCACATGTGTAATAGGTTTCAATTTTCTTCTTCTTTTCTTAAACAGATATTCTTCCTAGCAGCACCACACGATTCTTATTATTTAACATTTATTTAGTAGTGGCAATTGATTTGGCTCTGCATTGAATGTCAGAGAGTAGGGATAATTCCTTCCTGGTGGGCATAATATAAAAATCAGGCAAACCAAACTTCCATATTAAGAGATAATTATCCATGATATGAGGCAGAGGCAGAGCACGACACAGGTGCTCTGCTCTTTCAGGAGGCATCTTAAACAAAAATGGAGGCGAGAGTGCCCACAACCTAGTGCTGTCATCTGGAATGCTGGTGAAATAAGCTCCTAAAGCTGACTTAAAAGGCACAGCTGAACTGAGCACAAAGAGAAACCAACGGGCTTGTGGATGTTACTGTGCCTTCAATGAAGCTTTAACTCAATAATATGACGATTTAAAAGCAGATGTGGTTTTCCTAACATTGTTACAGTTTCAACCACCCAGCTATTTTGCTCCTTTGTGATTTTGAATGAATTATTGATAAGGAATACTTCAAAGATGTGCAAAAAATTCTTTTGCATTTAGCATTTATAAAACAATGATGTTGATGGAGGGAAAAAGAAAACCACTGTCAATATTTCTCTGAGACTAAACAATAACAAAGTGCCTTCAGGATTCATTTTAATGAGAAATACCAGTGTGGCTCTGTGGAAATCTCGGGACAAGCAGTGCACACTAGCAAATTAATTATAGGTTGGCAGCCAGGCAAATGTAGGAGGCTTATGGTGGCACTGTAGAAAATAAATATTATTTTAATCAGCAATACTGGCTTATTTCCTCAAAGGTAACATCAACCTTTAAATGTACAAGTCACATATATGTAGAAAACGATTTCAAAACAAGGGGTGCGTGGCTTTTCTGACGGCTATTTTCAAGTTAGTATTTGCACAAGGTTTCCTCAAAATAAGGCACAACTGATCCCTTAGTCTTGTCCGTGGTCAGAGAACAGGGTTATCATTACCGACAGCATTTTATCTAAGCCTGACTCTGATCTGTGCTGGAGGAGACATTGACTTTCATGATGGTTTTATGGATCGATGATTCAGGTGGTTCTCCAGATAGCTCTGCTGGATTCCTGGGCCCTGTTTGCAAGTCAAAGCTGCGTCTCCTCCCCTAGGTGGAATTTCTCAGTTCAAGGATTCACTTCTTAGCTGCCTCCAGCTCCTGCAGTTGGCAGCTGACGGGGCAGCCCTGTTAATGCAACCAGAGTGTTTAAAGCGGCAGGTGATAAGAGACGCTGGGATTTTAACAGCATAATGAATTAATTCGCAAACTCACTGAGCACAAATGATAACTTTGGTACAATTTCTAGTTGCAATTAGGAGGGGACTGCATTGTTTTACAGGATAAAGGTATTAGTCCTGATTCTTGTAATGTAATGTGTAGTATACTGGTATCTTTGAGAAAAAGCTAGTTTCTGGATGTGTGAATTTGCCCGTGACCAACTCCTGAAACGGATGCAAATTAAAATGAGCGATTTCTGTGATAGTGAATGTGCTGTAGCGTAACCTCTATACCCAGATTCCTAAGAGGGGGCTGGCAGAGTCTCAGAATTTCATTTTGCCTCAATGCTTATCCAAAAGCAGCATAACCAGCCCCTGTTCAAATGTATCCCAAACTTTTATTATATTTTGAGTTCATCCAGCCTGAGCGTGCAATCTTCATTTTGTACTTCAACCTGTTAACTATTTCAGTGACTGCCTTCAGAATCAACAAATTTGAGATGACTTTTAATTTCTGAGATGACTTTTAATTTCTGTGTCCATTGTCCAAGAGAATCGTTCATATCTTCACCCACTATTTCTGGTGTTCCCCCAAAATATTTCTAGCAGAAGAAATACAATTTTAAATACCAACAAGTTTTAGAAAAGCAAATTCTACTCTTATCAGAATTTGATTGGCATTATTAACAGTATTTTCAAAAAGAAAATTGTGAGTTTGTGTTAACGAAAATGTATGCTAATGTCTTTTTAAGAATTATTTACCATTATTTTTCTCTTTAGATTGCTGTACTACTAAAAGTAATCAATAAAATCTATTGTTACCTGTAGAATGCTCAGATAAGTACTAGGTATACATGGCTAATTAAAAAATATCATTTGATGATAATAGTGGTGATAGACATAATGATAAAATACTTGTTCTTTCAGATGACTGACTTATGCTAAAATGATATATTCATTCGATACAATGAATATTCAATGCAATTTAATAAATATTCATTGGACACCTGTGCTAGGCCCTAGGGATATTAAGATGAGAAAGATTCAGTATTTTGAAAGATTATATTGTTACAAATATTCCCTCCTTTTCCTATAAGAGGATTATACTTCCTGCCTGTGGCCATGTACCTTGCAGTGTGTCCTGAGGGAAGGGAATATGTATACTTCTCTATTATTGACCATGTGACTAATTTTAGCCAATGACCTGAGTGGACATGACTCATGCTACATCTGAGAGGCATTGTGTGTTTCTCGCAACATTCTTACTTTTTTCTCTCTTCTCAAGAATGGCATATCTCAAAAAGGAGCTGCTCCTAATCTGAAACACAACCCTGCCTTTAATCTGAGTCCTGGAGAGAAAAGATTAAACAAAGCCACAGCAGTTGACTACAGCTGCCAATGTGTAACACGTCTGTTGTTGTAAGTTGCTGAGACTTTGGAAGTTGATTTTTCACCATAGGAAGCTAACTAAAACACTTTACATGGTATTAAACTACAGTACTTTAATTCTAAGGCACTAAAAGTTGTGATAAACTGCACATAAATTTATGACCCAAAAAGAACTAGTTCTAGTCCAAGAATCTACAAGCTCAAGTTATGTAACATTGTCAAGATGTACTGTGAGCAAATTACATCTGGGTTGTTCTGCCCAGATTTGGATACTGACAAATTATAGTGAATTAATTGTGTAGCTATCTCCATTGAGTGTTTAGGTTACCAAAAAGAATAACTCTGCCATAATTTAATTGTCCTAGATGTACAGATCTGGCCCAAGTCAATTGGTAGTTCAAAGTCAAAGCTGATATGCTTTGTTTATCCAGTGGAATGAAAACTAAGGCTTTTTTTCAGGACAGTTAACATGCCAGAGATACATATCCACTCATTTCTAGTATCTCTTGATGCTTCTCAATAATTAGGTATCAACAAACATTTGCATCTCTCCTCTCTTTCTCCTCTTAGGGTCTGGGTTACCGTGGATGGAGAGAACTTCTGCCTGAACAGAAAAAATAGACAGTGTGTGTTTTGTCATATGTGTGTTTGCCTGCATCTGAGAGAGAGAGAAAGAGAAAGGAAAGTGAGGGAATAAAAGGTTTAACTCAGTTCACACTGTATTATACTTCCTTGAGAGTTATCTCATGCACCTGAAAATATCAGGCACCAGATGAAAATCCCATAATATTGTAAAGAAAATAAAGTTTATTTAACATATTTATTTTTGTTGTGTCTTTTCAGAATGTTTTCCTATACACCCTTTGCCAACTGCCTTTCCTTAGACTTGGATGCCAGGACGCAGGCTGCAGTAGATAATGCTAATGCTCGCCTGTGTTTGGCCCTCTTGTTGTCCCTTGGAGCATGGCACACTCCATCTCCCACTGCCCCGCAGCTGGGTCGGTCATGTGATGGGTTCTAGCCAATGGACCTGAACAGGGGTGATACAGTCACTCCCTGGGCTCGGCTCTCCAGAGGTCCTTTCTCTTGTTGCAGTTACCTTGGAAGACTCATGCTGAGAGGCCAGTGCCACCAGATGGAATTTGGACAGATCCCCAACTCACTGCTTGGACTTGCAAAAGACTTTTTGGGAGGAAGACATAGGTTTTTATGATTTCTGAACACTTCTTACTTTTTTGCCTTGGAATTAGTTGCTTTTTCTTTTTCTTTTTTTTCTTTTAATTACATTTATTTTAATGCTGAATTTACTCCTGTGCCATAAGTTTTTGTTTCTTCAGTTTCTTCTGGGATATCTTTTCCTTCTGGGCAACCTCCTCTTCTGGTTTAGGAACAATCTGTTCCTTTTCAGTAAGGACCATCTCAATGTGGCAGGGAGAGCTCATGTATGGGTTAATCCAACCATGAGCTCTGTAGGGCCGGCGGCGAATCTCAGGTGCTTTGTTCACTTGGATATGCTCAATGACCAGAGAATCTACATCTAAACCCTTAAGTTCAGCATTACTCTCTGCATTTTTACTCTTTGCATGTGCAGCAAAAATTCAGCACTCTTTTTGGGCCACCGACCTTGTGTCCAGCCTCACTGCTTGGCCTGGGCACACCTGCCATCTCCACCATTGTAATGTCGGAATGGTACGCACTGTTTCTGTAAAGTGACATCAGATACTTCGTGGCTTTTCATGTATGCATACCCTTGATGGCCTGGGCAGTTTCACGAGTGTTCTTGAAGTGAACACGAAGACTGGAACCTCTTGATTTGCATGATTTCCTGGGGTTCCCTGGGTCAAGTGAATAGCGAATCATTTTCACAGATTACCTCAGGCCGCTTAGGGAAAGAGCTAGTTGCTTTTTCAAATCTGTCCTTCCTTCCTTCTTTTCTTTCTTCTTACTTTTTTTCCTTCTTTTCTTTATTCCAAAAGCATTTATGAAACCAGGATCTATGCTGGGATTACAGTGACAAACAGTAGAGTCATACTACTGCCCTTATGGATTTATAGGGGAGTGAGAATAGCACACATTTAAAACATTTTTTCCCTGTACTAACCACTCTATCAAACTATCTCACTTAATCCTCATAACAACACTGTGAAATAAGACTTATTCCTATCTCTATTTTATAGATAAAGAAACTGGCCTTCAGAGAAGTAAATGACATACCTTGAATCATACAGACAGTGAAGGGCAGAGTTGGGCTTCAACCCTGAGCTGCTTGTTGTCAAAGCCTCGATGTTAAACACCAGGCTATAATAAGGAGTAGCTTTTGGTTATCTGGAGAGTTTGATGCAAACTCATCATTATTATTATAGATCTGTCAAAATTAGAGATTTCTCCCCTCTTTGGGCAAGAGTTTGTACTTTGATATTTTGATCATAATGAAAAGGGTATCAAGAGAGTGGGACCAAAGAGTTCCATTCCCCTTACTCTCTGTCTGAAACAATGCCCAGCCATCTTCCAATATTGCCCTCAGTGCTTTCATCCCTCTCTTGAAGGTGGGATTCGTCATCTGTGCAGATAGCTTCATGAATCCACTGCTGGGATGGCTAACAAAGTGGTGGGCAAGAGGAGGTTTTCTTACAATTTTCAGTCAAGCCCCTGTGAGGATAGAATTTCTGTCAAAGGAAGGGGCAGTAGCGACCCTCTTTCCAGGGGGAAGATCTGTGCACCAGTGAGGATGTCTAATTACAACTTTAAAACAATATTGTTTGTAATACAAAGTGAGACCTTTCTCCCACTTATTTATGATTTTCTTTTTCCATCAAAGGAGCAAGCAGGACTTTGAAACAAATCAAGTTTAAGTGAAAATTTTCAATGTCACTGCTTCCCGCCCCCCACCGGTGACTTATAAACAGCTTATTTTACTGGAAGGGGCACAGAAAACTTTGGCTTTTTACTTAAGGACATTTGATAATAGTCACTGTTTGTTAATTTCAGTTGCATCTCCTTAGTAGCAAATTCTCAGGTTCTCAGGTCCTTTAGGGCCACCCTCAACTCCTGCATTGCTGATAACAGCAGTGTTTCTCAAAATGTAGACCATTGATCACATCAGATCATCTGAGTCTTCAAAAATGCAGATTCCCAAGTCTCATTATAGGTTTGTTGAGTCAGTCTCTGTTGATATTACCTCCTAGCACTGAGCATTTTCTCAAGGTCCAAGGTGGTTATCATGCACACACTTAAGTTTGAGAACCAGTGTACTGGCACCTAGAGTCTCCTGGCAAAGGTTTTGCTTTCACAAAGAGCAAACATTTTAGCTTTTTATTCTTGTCCTCCTTCCCCTGTCCCACTCTGTTTTAACCCATTTATGGAATAGTCTTACAGAACTTATAACAATAAATTTTCCATTAAAAACGATCTACTGGCCAGACATGGTGGCTCATGCCTGTAATCCCAGCACTTTGGGAGTCCGAGGCGGGTGGATCACCTGAGGTCGGGAGTTCAAGATTAGCCTGACCAACATGGAGAAACCCCGTCTCTACTAAAAATACAAAATTAGCCAGGGTGGTGGTGCATGCCTGTAATCCCAGCTACTAGGGAGGCTGAGGCAGGAGAATCGCTTGAACCCGGGAGGCGGAGATCGCAGTGAGCCAAGATCATGCCATTGCACCCCAACCTGGGCAACAAGAGCGAAACTCCGTCTCAAAAACAAAAAACAAAAAACGAACAAACAAACAAAAAAAAGATCTACTTAGAATGGAATAAACATTCTTTTCAGGGCAGAAATCAAATATAGGACCTTTGGGAAACCACAGCTTTCTTTCTTGATCTCCATTAGGCATATTGAAAGACAGTTTCTCCCCTTAAAAGAAATGTGCTTACAGACTAAAAAATCTCTCTTTAAACAGTTTCGAAAATTAGATTCACTGCCTTGTGCATCCATATTACCTCAAGCAGGCACCTGCAAAGATACCAAATGGAAAGCAGACCAGAAGAAGGTGAAGTTCAGGTTCATTTTGTACATCCTTCAACAATGTTTCACTATTGTGCTTTCTTCTTTTGCATTTGTTTGCTTGGCACACATTTTTCCTTTCACTCAACCACCTCCCTATACCCGTTTCTACATTTATTTTAAGCAAATATTTAGGTTTTGAGGCCAAAAGACTCTTCAGACCATTTACAATGAAGCCCAGGACTCAGAAGGATTAGCAAGAGGGAGGAAGAGGTGAAAGCTAGGCTCTCCCTGGTGCATTTGAGGAAGACTGGGTTTACTAGAAGAAATGTAATGATCAAAACTCACATACCTGTGGGAGGCTCAGTGAGGAAACACCATTCCAAATGTGCAGTGGAAAAATTACCCAAAGTTATAGGAAAAGAAAAAACCAAAACCAAAACAAACAAACAAACAAAAAACACCTCCTGGCTGCAGCAAGTTACGTAGGCTATGAATTATTTTATTGAACAGCATTAAGTGCTTTCCTGTTGGAAAATGAGGGACTTATTAATTATTTTAAGTTCAAAGTAATTAAGTCAGGCACTGTCAGGCTGACACGGTTTTCTCAGCAGGCGGCTGGATTCATTCAGCAAAGTGAAGGATTTTTCGCATATGCTGGGCTACAGGTGAGCCAGTTGGTAAATATGTGACATCTTTTAATTATACCTCATTGCAATATGTAGCTTGTCTTATGAATTACGTGATCATTTGTTGCTTTCTCATGAAAGAGAAGATATTGTTGAGTTTCCCTAGGAAGGATGTAGAGGGAGGAATGGGGGAGTGCCTGAGTTCATGGAAAGGAGGAAAATCACCTCTGTGGTAGGTACTTGTCCAGATTATTTTAGGACCTGACCTGCATGTGACCTCCTATTGTAAGTTCTGGGAAAGTTTCTGTCTCCACTGGCTAGCAGGTGTGAGAAAAGATTTTCTAGCAGGCCACATCAGGACTGGATGGTAGGAAAGACTGAAAAGCTGTCTCTAGTTGACCTCCCTTCTGGGCTTTTCCTAGAAGCCTTCCTGGTAACCAGCTGCCTAGCTAGATTCCAGGAGCATGATGGAGAGCCTTTTGATATGGACAAGAGACAGAGAAATACTGGGTAGAAGACAGCTGTTCCTGGTAAAAGCCCCACCCTCAAGCCTGAAAATCCATGACCCTAAGTGGGAGCAGGTATTCCTGTTTGAACACCAAAAAGTTGCCTTTTGGCCTGCTATGTCTGTACCCATTTGGCCCCTATTCTGTACCCATATAAACCCCAAACCCCAGGCTCCACAAACAGATTAACGGAAGAGCAGAATGACAGAGGAGAGAAGAAAAGAAGCATTTGAACGTCAAGAGGAGTCTGGCTGGGGATGGTGGGAGAGGAGATAGGCTTCTGGGTGGTCAGACTCTAAAGGAAGATCATTTTCCCACTCCATCCCCTTTCCAGCTCCCCATCCATCCTACTGAGAGCCACCACCACCACTCAGTAAAACCCCCAAATTCACCATCCTTCAAGTCCATGTGTGACCTGAATTTTCCTGGACACCGGACAAGATCTCAGGATACAGAAAGCTGTCACACTGGCCCTCTGCCCTTGTGAAAAGGCAGAGGGTCCACTGAGCTGTTTAACACTTAAGCCACTGGTGGATGGCAAGGCTAAAAGAGCACCCTGTAACACACACCCACTTGGGCCTTGGGAGTTGCAGGCTCCCACCCCTAGACGTTACCATGGGACCGGAGTCCAAAAGCACTTGCCATAGCTCCTGCACCTGCCTGTCTACATGCTCCCCCTACTGTAAGGGATTTGAGCGCATGAGCAGAAGAACCACATCCCTGTTACATATCCTGTGAGGGGGGCCAGGGAACTCTCCCATTGCACTTTGAGCTCATATTTGCTTAAAAGAGGAACAGGGCAAAAAAAAAAAAAAGAAGAGTTGAATTAGAGTGTTGGAATTCTATAAATCATGGGAATTAAAAAAAAAAAAAAAAAAAATTGAAAATCAGAGATTGAAGAGAAATTTGCAGCTGGAGAGATTGACTTCAACATGGCTGCAAA